CCCACTTCTCACGACGCCCGTTACTCGGAATCGTAATGAGGACTTATATAAGAACTACAGAGAAGAAAATAAATATCTTGTTCATCCGGAGCGTACAAACCGCACGCGCCAACTATAAAATGTCTTGCCATGAGGCAATCACTTTCGTACCATTTTCACAGACACCACTCGACCTGCTCTCACCACGGAACACCACGCTCCCCGCAGAAAGACAGAAAACAAACCGCCTCCGCCTTGTACCTAACCGTCGGGAGACCGACCGGGCGGGGTGATCCAGAGAGGGTTTTGAGGGTGTGTCTAAAAGGGGGGTAATTAACATTAACAGGGGAAAAGGGGACGTAGCAGGCTATTGCTTCGTAACTGCGGGAGCACACCGGAAGGGGACAAGGTTGTCGAGTAATTCGGGTTGGTTTAATGTGCTGAGGTCGAAGACGAGTAGCGTCTTCGATCTGGCTTTATAGTCCTATTGACTCTACAATAACAGTAGGCGCACTACCAAAAAAGGGAGGTTGCGCCACCTATGCAATGTCTCTAAACGGTTACACCCTGAACAGGTAGAATTGTAGGTGGCACGTCCTTAAGGGACTCTATTGTTGATAGCTAAATGTAGCCTACATAGTTTAACCTGAATTGATAATGATAAGCTAATTAAAGTGACTACTCGTCTACACCAAACATCGCAATTAGTCTGGGTGGAAAATTAGTGTGGATACACATATTAGCGTAGACCATACTAACTTCTGCGAGCTGTTCTTGCTCGTAAACAAAATTACTGTAGACTATACTATTTGATATTACACACATATTAGTCTGGATGCGCCAAAAAGACAGGAAGGGCATAGAGCAAACAGACTCTCGCGCACCGGAATGCGCGCCCGACGGTAACTACTGCAATTATTAGGCGGGAAGCGCAATGCGCAGGAAATTGTAACACCATCACCCCGCCTCTAAAGCCACCCAGTACGTGTTTCCCGTCCAGTTCGGCTGCCAGAAACCTCTATAAAAGGAGCTTTAACACCAAGATATGGAATTCCTCCCCATGCATTCACCAAATCTCTCAGTGAGGCGCACCGAAATGTATTCGGCCTCCCCCATCGTGCGCTCCCTACAGCGAGCAGTGGCAACTGCCTCATCGAACACCTCCCATCTGCACCCCTCCCCGACAGAACCGCACCATAGCAGTACAACGGTGCATCCTTCCCCCACACCTCCCTTGGACACGCCATCAGATTCACTTTCCCTACCCCCTCAGCTCAAAAAACCGCAGAAGCGGGCACTTCAGAATGTGCTTACTCATGCACAGCGTGTCAAGATCGTAACGTGGATGGTGGAAGCGTCTCGTACAGACGGTGACAAACACATGGCATCCCGAGCTGTTCGCAATTTCCCAGCACTTTTTCGGGGATCAGAGAAAGCGAACAATGGAAAAGCGAGTAGGCTGTGGAAAACCCGGGAAGCCCTGATGAAGTACCAAAGAGGGACAAACAACCGCGGAATACCCTTTTCGATTACGCGCGTCACGCGCGCGGGCATGAAACGTTTCTACATCAAGGCCTGTCCCGGTCGAGGAAGGAAATGGGTGGGTTGGGTAATTGGAATGCATACAGACTTACTCGAGGAGTTTGAGCGTCTGAGGAAGTCCGGCCTGAAGTTCAACGCAAAACTTCTCCGTCATTTGGCAATTCACCTGGTCCGTGAATCTCGTAATGCGGTGTATCATGCCAATCTGAAAGATTTGAAATCGAACAAATTAATTATTGAATTAATATCGCCCCGCTGGATACAGGCATTCATGAACCGTTTCCAAATCGTCAGTAGGGCCCAAACTGGGAAGCTCATGGTATCGCCGGCCAAACAATCCCATATTGAGAGGGATGTGGCGTACCACCTTGGGATGGTTGCTCGTGCATTTCGTTCTGGAGCAATGGACGAAAATGACGTGTGTAATGCAGACGAAACGCACTTTCTGATTAATTTGGATAATCAAAGGACATTGGGAAAATGTGGCGAAGCTGAAGTGAAGTATTCCGACGTGGTTTCGGGGTTTGAGGGAATGAGGATGATGGTTAGGATCTCTGGTGGAAGGGATGCTGTTATTGAAGCGCCATTTATGGTTTTTCAGAATACGAATAGAAGTTATCCGATACAGGGGGTCCCAGACAATGTGCAAGGCGTATGGTATCGTTCAGGCCCAAAAGGGTGGATGGACAAGACGGTTTTCCGCAATATTTGGCAGAGACCAAGGTTTTCAAATGTTTGCCGCATGGGCGGAAACGTATTTTGTTTGTTGACAATTGTGGGGGGCATGGGATGTCGGAGAATTTGGAGCAGGCGTTGCGAGCGTGTAACACGGAACTACGCTTTTTTCCGCCTAACGCTACAGATTTGATTCAGCCGGCGGATTCCTTTGTCATCCAAAAATTAAAGGACGCATGGCGTGGACGATGGGATAGATATAAGATGGACGTAATTATGCGAAATGAGTTTGCGGCGGCTTCTGGGAAAATTCCTAACCCGGGAAAATATTACTATTTGACTTTGGCCGCAGCCGTTGTGAGGGACGTAAATGCGATGCGTGATGCAGATGGAGTGAGGTACGCCCGAAAGGCTATGATCCGCACCGGTCTTGCTTGTAATATCAACGGACAATGGGAAGAATCCCAGCTGTTTCCAAAATTGCAAGAGATAGTGCAGAAGTATAGAAATCACTTCGATGGCGCTCCTGTTGTTGATGTTGATGATGAGTAAAATGTGTCGATATACTAACATGGACTGGTTATGATTGGACAATAGCGTGTTTATCAAAATAGTGTAGTCTTCACTAATATGTTCATTGAAAATTAGTCTGGTCTACTCTATCTTAGGTTGTGATGCATATAGTGCGGGTACACATATTAGTGCAGTCCGCATTATTACGTGTGAGGGTGAAAATATATCCTTGCCTTTTTATAGTCTAGCCCAGACTAATTGCGATGTTTGGGTGTAGTCAGTTACTCTGACACTAACAACAGTGTAGGATGGTGTGGCTCTCAGGGAGGGTCTTAACTTGCCCGGGTTTGCTTTGCTTGCCCGAGTTTGCCGGTCATTTATTAATTTATTAATGTAAGTACACGCCTTTCCCTTACGTTAGTAGTGGACAGGTGTCCTTTCCCTTACGTTAGTAATGAACAGGTGTCCCAGAGCGACGGTGCTGACTTACAGAGGCATACAGCGCCATAAATTGCCAGAACGCAACGGGGAGGACACTGTGGGTTCTACAAATTCGCTCCGAGGACGCATCGACAGGGACGTGACATGCTGCAGCGTCAAACAACTTCGCCCCAGGGACGCGTCGACATGGACGCGAGACGCTGCAGCGTCGCTCGCTTCCGACCCAGAACGTGGCCATTGCGGGTGATCCCAGATCATCGGGATAAATAATTGATCTCACCCCCTACTTCTCTCCTTACTACTCCGCGGGATAGCGTATCTATCGCCGGCGCTGTTTGGTCAAAAAACGGATCTACAACCACTGCCCAGTATCGCCGTTCGCCTCCCCTCCTTTCTTCTCAATCTAATCACTCCTACGCAATGCACGGCAATAGAATCATCACTGCTACGACCGCACTAACCGCAACCGCAGCTCTATTCTCCCTCCTTTCATTGCACCAAGCTATTTCAAACTATCCTCGACCCCGAAAATTCACAAAGCCCTTAGATCTCGGACGGGGATGGACTTTTGTCAGAGCCATCAGGATTTTTAACGACAAAGAATTCAGTCGTACATACCGTATGGAGGGGGGGATAATATTTGGTCAGAAACGTCCGCTGCAGACGAGGAAGCAATAGTGAGAGACTTTGCGTTGGTGGCCCCCGTCTTCCGAATGGTGGGAGTCAGAGAGATGCGCCAGAGGCGCGGAGAACGGCGCACGTGGCATTGAGGTGTGGAAGCCATTTTCAGGAAAGTAGTCGGCAGAGAGGTGCTTCGTAGAGTTGGGTTGCCTTTGCGAGATGGCAGGTGCATAGATTTTTGCAAAGGGGATGTTGAGGATGTTTTCGGCACGGGGCAAGCACTGCGTCCACCGGAGCACAGCGTCCAAATTCGAAAGTTACAAACTTACAAAAGTAGCCAATATATGATTGACATTTGTCATTACACACTGACATAACTTGAGCTTGCAGTGTAGGGTCGTACTTAGTTTCAAATCATATATTAACGCCCAGTAGCCAATAGTAGTGCAAATCATGGCTCGGGGCAAGCAAACCCGGGCAAACTCGGGCAAGTTAAGACCCTCCCTCAAGACTGCATGTGCAGCATCTGTGAAGGCCTTGGAACTGGATCGCAATGCTGTGATCGTTCTGTACGTGTCGGAAAGTACACGTGTAATGGTGTTGTCAAACGACGCACTTTCAATGGGCACGAATGCTACGCAACGCGACGGCGTCGGGCGGGTCTCTTTTTTCTTTACTTTATCCCATATTTACCAGAAACTGCCCACTCGGTGCCAACCGTGGTGCCAACCGATGAAGCCTGTGGCCATTCGCAGCGAAATTATTAATAAAGCGTCAGGCTGCCGTCAGGGTTGCCTCTGCCGCCGAGATAGTCGAAGCCTAGATCGCGCCCTTCAGAATGCGTCCGACAGCATTGTGGAGTCGTACCAAGCCATGAAAGGGTTAAATACGACAAGCCAAGAATTCGTTCACAACAAGCATTCTTCTTCTTTCAAGATACACTGGAAGGGATTTTCCTCATCATGCAACGCATGCACGGCTTTTTGAGCAAAGGTGCGCATCCGCATTCGTGGTTCTGTGCGCCAAGAAGTACCGAATCGTTCGAGAATAGTATCTCAGCATCCGCCAGTGTCCTAATTCGATGAGTTTGCTGCGCTAACCTCCTGGATGGGAGTAGAAAGCTCCATTCAATACTAACTTTTGGACTTAAGTTGTACCGGCACTGCTTAAGGCAGCTGAGAGGATCTCATTCCTAAGGACCACTGAGGTCGAAAATCCCTTCGCATCACATGAGAAGCAATCCAGTCTTTCCCATAAGTCTGGCCAATCCTCACGGAACGTGCCCGGCACTCGCGCCGGGGAGACCATCATCTAAGGACCTGTCCACGATATCTGTCGATCATTGCAGGAGACATCATTCGCCATCTCCTTTATTACAAGGGTCCAAAATGTGGCATTCTCGCTTAAACCCGTGTACACACATCATCCACCTGTCAATCATCGCACATATGCATGGAAACAGGGGTTGCGAGGCAGACGGATCCGGCCAGGTGATTAGAACCAACTTACCTGCAGACTGAGCGTAAGTGCAGTGCTGAGAAGCTAGTTTTCACACCAAGATCTATGATGGCTTTCATATATCCGTTCTGCCTCGTACCGTAGCATTGTTCAGGGCCCGCATCGACCCGATATAGAGTTAGATTTCCGTTTTGATCTCATCTTGAGCATGTCGTGTAGTAAGGGCGTCGTATCACAGGTCCCTGAAGAGCAGGTGCACTTGAGACTCGCGCTTCTGAGGGCATCTCAGTGTAGTCTATAATTCTGGTTATTGGGAGCAGGGGTACGGAGTCGACCGCTTGAACTAACTGTCCATCAGAGGGATTTGACGACTAGGTACTTCCCTATCAATAACCGAGCGTGCGCTTGAAGCAAGAAGCTTTCGCTCACCTACAGCGCAGGTGATCCCATTTGTTTCAGTTGCGTATGAACTCTTTATTCCCGGTCTCCAAAAGCTGGTCATAGGTGCTGTCAACTTGTAGTAGTCGTCTACAGTCCGCGATCTGCGCCTATTTGCAGAAAGTGGCGAACGCTAGTCAGCCTTACCATAGCCGTTGGGATTTCCTGATTGCCAACGCCAGGTATCGGCGCACATCTCCTCGACCCCAAGTTTGGCTTCCCATCCGAGAAATTCTCTAGCAAACTTGGGATCTGCATACAAAATGGAGACATCTCCCTCTCTCCGAGGAGCTTCCTTGTGCTGGAGCTCCCTTCCACAGGCCTTCGACATGCCCTTGAGCATGTCCAGGACAGAGAAACCCTTACCCGTGCCCAAGTTGACTGAAACGCAGCCAGGCTTCTGCGGGATTTTATCAAGCGCGGCGACATGTCCCTTGGCCAGATCGACAACGTGGATATAGTCGCGAACACCAGTACCATCGGGAGTGGGATAGTCCATGCCAAAGACGGTGAGATGCTCCCTGCGACCGACGGCGACCTGAGCGACGTAGGGCATGAGATTGTTGGGGATGCCAGTGGGATCCTCCCCGATCTGACCGGAAGCGTGGGCGCCGCACGGGTTAAAGTAGCGGAGGATGAGGATGTTCCACTCCGAATCGGCCTTGTGCAAATCGCGCAAAAACTCCTCGATGAAGAGCTTGGTGCGTCCGTACGGGTTTGTGGCGCCGATCTGAGCGTCCTCCGTGACGGGCATCTCCTTGACCATCCCGTAGACGGTGGCCGAGGAAGAGAATACAAAGTTCTTGCAGTCGTGCTTGGTGAGCAAGTTGAGGAGGTTGAGGGTGCCGGTGAGGTTGTTGTGGTAGTAGCGGATAGGCTGCTGGACAGACTCTCCGACGGCCTTGAGCCCCGCAAAGTGGATGCAGGCGAAGAAAGAGAACTCCGTGAAGACGGCCTCGAGGTCTGCGAAGTCGAGCAAGTCGACCTTACGGAAGACGATGAGTTCCGGCTTGCCCGTGATGTTGCCGACGCGGATGAGCGACTCCTCGGACGAGTTGTCAAGGTTGTCCACGACAACGACCTTGTGGCCGGATTGCACGAGCTCGAGGACGGTATGCGAGCCGATATAGCCGGCACCGCCTGTGACGAGGATGATCTTTTCGCTCATAGTGGGGAGTTGGAGTACGGGGGTGGGGGCCGAAGGTGGGGCCGGGAGTGGGGGCGGGGGGTGGTGAGACAGGGCGGAGCGGTGGCAAGATGCATAGTAAAAAGAGCTTGGTTGATGGCAACGGGCCCTTGCTGGCCGCAACTAAGTGAAGAGAATCAATGGTGTCAGAGGATCGAGATGTGATACCGCCCGGCGACATGCCTTCTTTTTTCTTCTTTTTTTAAAACCTCTCTACACGTGTACACCTCACCTTATGACGTCAGTCGACGAAGGTCTGCAATCATCCACTTGGCCCATCCAATTGCTCGCCTTCTCAAAAGAAACAACAGACCACTGTAACTGTTCGGCAACTGTAATGAAAATGCGTCGTCCGTTACACGTGTCCACCACGACACGGCGCGCAGGCTCTCTTACCCCACCCGTCCTCCTCCTTCCCCCCCGCACCGGCTCAAATTTCTTCCGCCATCGCCGTCGCCACCCCCCTCCTTATTGCACGCTCACCCGTCATTCCCGATGCCACCCCCCCGATGAGCAACGCCCCCCACCGCTATGCCTCCGTGGTCTTGGGCTTCGCTGACCCTCCCTCCACCTCGTTCCACCCCTACTCCTTCCCAAGCAAGGCCGGGGGCCGCCCCGTGTGGCTGCACCTCCCACCAACGGCGGCCCCTCCTCCCCCCCGATGCAAAATCTGCTCCCGGCCGCAACAATTCTTGCTGCAAATTTACGCGCCCGTCGAACCGCAACTTGTCGCCCACGACGAAGCCTTCCACCGCATGCTCTACGTCGCTATCTGCCCCTCCGCGTCCTGCCAGCGCCGTTCGGATTGCGTCACCGTCCTGCGCGCTCAGCTTCCGCAAAGGAATCAGTGCTACCCGTATGAGGCTGTGGAGGAGCCCGAGTTGATCAAGGAGCCAGACGTTTGTGTTTTATGCGGCTTTGCAGCTGCGAAGAGATGCGCCCAGTGTCACCGCGTCTCGTACTGCGCAAGGGCCTGCCAGTTGCAGGACTGGAAGCTGGGGCACAAGGACGAGTGCGCCGGGGGCGTGACGAAGGACGACATGGACGCCAGGAGGGTCAAGTGCAGGCTTCGCGAGATGGAGATTGTCACTGAGCAGCATCCCACACCGGATACTAGTGACGACGAGGACGACAGTGAAGGGGAGGACGCGCATGTCGAAACGCTATCGCCAAATGGCGACGCCAGCGAGGGCGGCGGGGAGCAGGAGGACGCGAAAGCCGAGACGCTGCCGCCTAGCGGTGATGCTCACCCTTCGGGCACGGTGACGCGCGTCAGTACCGCTGTAAACGTAGACGAAATGCCTGTGCGAGGCACGTTTCAAGACGCAGACGGCGACGAGCTTCCCGAAGAGATATTCCGCGGGCGCGGGCGCGGGTTAGGGGCCAACGACGCGTCAACGAGTCATTTCCAGCGCGTGGTTGGGTACGCGTCGTCGCAAGTGGTGCGGTACGAATGGGACGGGTTGGCTCTGTGGGCAGCGCGCGGCGGGCGGTGCGGCGAAGCCGGGGCGTGCCAGCGGTGCGGCGCGCCGCGCGTGTTCGAGATGCAGGTCATGCCGCAGCTGGCGTGGTACGTCAGGCACGACGACGCGCGCGCGACGATCGAGGCCGTCGCAGAGCGCTTGCGCGACGGCATGGAGTGGGCGACTATCGCTGTCTACTCGTGCTCGCGTAGCTGTCCCCTGGGGGATGTGTACGCCCGCGAGATGGCGTGGGCGCAGGCATTCGACGCCCCCCCGTAGACCACCCGCGCGGAGGTCCTGACGGCCCTGGTGGAGGGCGCCACACGTGTACGGCCAAGGGTCGACGCAGTCGCCCGCCTCCCGGTCCGCTAAACTGCACGTGCCGTCCCGATTGGACCACCACGCACAACGCGTGTCGCGATCCGTTCGATCATCCACCCTACTTTGCCGGCCCCGTCACCAGCCCCCACTCCCCCGTTCCCCCTTCGGACGCCCATCCCCCCGCCGACCGCCGAAGTCTCGCATCTGCCGTCGCGTTGCCCTCCCGCCCAACTCTAACTCTTAGAGTTCCCTTCTCTGCTAGTCCGCTTCCACACACCGTTCTCCTCCCGTATCCTTCCCCATTTTCAAACCAATTCAAACTCCTTCCGCCTAACTCTTACCGCTTGCCTTCCACGCGCCCTCTCTCTCGCCACCCACCCTCTCTTCTACCCGCCCTCGGCATCCACCTTCCCCCCCGCCCCTCCCTCCCCTACCCTTCCTCCCTCCCTCTGAGACCATGGCTAACCGCAAGTCCTGGCGCCGCGCCGCCGGTCCCCCCTCGAACCGCGGTCCCTCCCGTCCGGCCAACAAGTCCGCCTCCCCCTTTGCGGGCATTTCCTCCGCCACCCTTTCCTCTGTGCTTCACCTCCTGCTGGCCAAGGACGTCAACCTCACCACCGTCGACGGGGCCGTCCACAAGGGTCTCTTCGCGGCCACCGAGCACGCCCCCGACGGTCTACGCATTGTCCTCAACTACGCCCGCTCCCGCCCGCCGAAGGAGGGCAAACCGCTGGGCACCTTCGTCGAGAAGAGAGGCGACGTGGCCAGGAAGTTCAGTGTCTGTGTCAAGCACGTTGTCTCTGTCACCGCCGCTAGCCCCATGAACGTCATTAAAATGGCCCCCGTGCCGGCCTCCAGGAAAGCAGGGTTTGCAATTGACGGTGACATTACCAAGGGCAACACCGGCGCGGGTCGCCAGCTCGAGCCGTTCAATGACTTTACGGAGTTAGTCGGCGGTGTAGGGGGCCGCCCCGCCACGCTGGATGAGCACACTTTTGGCGACCTCGCCAACGGTCGTCCTGGAAAGAAATGGGACCAATTCCAGGTCAACGAGGATAAGTTTGGCGTCACCACTTCGTTTGACGAGCACCAGTACACTACCAAGATAGACACGCGCGATGCAAGGTTTGCAGAGCGCGAAAAAGAGGCCGCCAAGCTCGCTTTGGAGATTGAGGGCAAGCAGGCGGACAATGTGCACCTGAGGATCGAGAGGAACCAGGGAATTGATGCCGATTTCGACGAGGAGACTTTGCACAGCGGCGTCGATAGGGCGGCCATGAAGGAACCCCCGAAGCCGGCCGGGAAGCCTGCGGCAAAGGGTAAGGCTACGCCCGTCGAACGCCCCAGGCTCTCGTATGCCGCTGCCGCCGCGGGCTCGGTCAAGGCCCAGGTGCCCCAGACAGTGAACAAGCCTGCGCCGCCTGTCGGGAAACCGGCCCACAGATCATCGAGCACCTCCTCTCGCTCGACAGGACCCTCGGCCCCCGCTACCACTCCTTCTGCCGACACCAAGGAGCGCGACCCTGTCATGGAGAAGAAACCCAAATCTAATTCAATGCGCTCAAGCAGAGATAACCTTCCCCAACTTGCAAAAGTACGAGCGCAAACAATCACAGGAAGAAACTCTCCAAGTCAGTCTCGTAACTCCCCTCTTCCGACTCCGGCCGCCGCCGAAACTACGGCGGTGGCAGTTTTAAATCTGGACGCTCAAACACCAAACCTCGGGCCCGAACACATTAAGAGCTTTGAGAAATACAAAACCAACCGCGAAATTCGTTCCATTGCTGAAAACCGGGAGAAGATCACAGATGATTTTAAGAAGTTTCGAACGCAGTTCGATTCAAGGAATGGACAACTCCGGCGGTCAAGCAGCAACGCCAACAGTTCTGGCAACACCAATATCGGTACAACAGCTGAGAAGAAAGCAGTTGAACCCACTCCCAAAGCCGATCCAAAAGCCTCCGGGGACAGAAGCACCCAAACGAAAGCAGAAGAGGTCAAGGCGCCGCAACCAACCTCCTCCAAAGCGACCGAGGCAACTCTGAAACCAAAAACAAAACTGAAGAGCAAGCTGGACCCCAACGCTGCAGAGTTCAAGCTGAACCCCGACGCCCAACCTTTCGAACCAGCCGTGCAGAAGCAGCAGGTCCCCGTGAATCCAGTGCCGTATCCCATGTCACCTTATCCGGGGGGCCAGGTGCCTCAAGAGTACGTGCAAAATGTGCAGCCAGGACATCAAGGCTATCCGGTGCCTATGCAAGCTATGGGACAAATACCTTATGGACAATCTTATGGGATGATGGTACCCGCTGGGGCCGTTCCAGCAGGAATCCCTGCAGGGAATTCGGCATATCAATTTATGCAGGCGCCTCCAGGAGCCTTCGCCGGGCAGCAGGTGCCAAGTCGATTCGCACCCAGCGGAGGAATGCCAGTCTCGTATGGATACCCTCAGATGAATCCCAATATGCCAATGGTTGTGGGTCAGGGTCCGCAGGGAATACCAGCCGGGCCTTACCCGTATTACGCACCAGGACCATATCCAGGCGGTCAAGTTCCCGGCGGACCGCAAATGTCACAGCCCCCGCAGCATATGTATAGTTCCAACCAACATGGAGTAGCACAAATGCAGGGTGGGCCAATGTATCAAGGAGGGCGCGGAGGGCAGGGACATCGAAGGGGAGGTTTTGGTCGCAAGGGAGGCAAGCATCACGGGCAGCATTCTCATAATGCAGCTGCCAACGCAGCGGTAAACAGTTCAGAAAAAGTTATGGGGCGACCGTTGGAGAACGGTATGGCGAATGATGCGAGCCAACGGTAGGACGTGGCACGGTTTTGAAAAATAGGCAGAGTCAAAAGAGAAACGGTAGGAGAGAGAGGTAAACGAAAAGCAGAACCGAAAAGACTTTTGGAGTGTCTTCACAGTACGATAGTTTTACGAGGGAAAAATTACTCTTTCGTTTACAGCGTAGAGCACGCAAGCTCACCTATCACGATAGAGTGGGTTTGGGCGGAAGCGTGCAGCCAGACTTTTGAATAATAACGTTGGCGGCGTAGTTGGCGTAGCGCACGCAATCTGCGATCGGGACGGCCTTTGCGAGCCCCGCGAGAAAGCCGCCGACAAACGCATCTCCCGCGCCGTTGGTATCGAGGATATCCTCGGGCTTGATTGGGAGGACAGGGTACTCGGTGACGGACCACACGCGGGTCGCATCGGCCACGACGACAACGGTCGGCTGGGCGCCCTGGGTGAAAACGACGGTCCTGGGGCGCACAGTCTTCTTCTCACACTGGGCAAGTTTGGTGGCGATGACGGTGACATCGTTGGTGCCCCATCCCATAGCTTCCGCCAGGGTGGCGGCCTCGGTCTCATTCCCGAAGCAAACGTCAACCAGCGGCAGGAGGTTCTTCATGGCCTCCAGGAACGGCGGGACCTGCATGAGGAACGGGGCGGAGAGGTTGAAGCACATGGTCTTGCCCTCTGCGGCCGCGTGCTCGCCGACGGCGAGCATGGACTGCGGGGACACGGTGAGGAAGAAGCCTGCGGTGTAAAAGATGGATGCCTTCTCGACCACGGCCCACTGCTCCTTGTCGTCGAGGTGTTCCTTCGGGTAGGTGTTGGCGGCGGACAGGTTGGCGACCAAGGAGCGGTTGTTGCCCGTGATGACGACTGCGCACGTGCCCGTGGGGAGGGAGGCGTTGACAAAGTAGTGGACGTTGACGCCGTCGGCCTGGCAGCACGCAGTCATGGTGTCCCCGAAGGCGTCGCTGCCGATGGCGCCGAAGTAGGATGTGGCGCGCGGGGACTGCAGCAGCCAGTGCGCGACGCGGATCGAGTTCTGCGTGGCGCCGCCCGCGACGTAGGTCACGTCCGGGCGCGCGGAGAGCTCCGCGTAGAGCGGGGCGTGCTTGTCCTCGGCCAGGATGGCGTTGTTGGGCTCCAGGCCGTACTTGGTTAGGACGTCCGCGGTGACGACGGCGGAGATGTCGAGGAGAGGGTTGCCCATGCCGAGGATGACGCCTTCGGCGACGGCTTGCTCGATCGTCATTGTGGGGAGGGGGGGCTGTCGCGGGTGCGGGGCGGCAGGGGTAGAGGATCGGGCGGCGTGCTGGGAATGGGTTTTGGGTGGAATGGATTAGGGAGGAAGTGGTGCGGATGGGGGGAGAATGGACGTCGGGGATGGGTATGTCCGCCCGTGGGCACAAGCAAGCATAGAATTCACAAAGTTTTTCAAAACTGTTCATGTGTTCTCCCGAGCACTCCCGGACACACGTGTATGAAACAAGCATCGCTCACGTGTAACAGACATCTGTTCAGATGTCTGGCGCGCACACGTGTGCAACTCCAGTACGTATTGATCAATCAATACTGTACGTCGTATTGAATCAATACGTTACTGGAGTTGTACACGTATGATCCAGGATTCCCTCGACAAGTGTACTCTCCCTGTGCTCGTTTATTTATCTGACTTTCAAGGGGAGGCCGATGCTACAGTACTGTATATCACAGGAGGGGGGCGTCAACGACTACTGTACTCTCGCTCCTGTGGTAGTAACGGACCTCTGGTCCGGCGCAAACTGTCAGTAAAATTGATGCGTGCGTTTGATGATCAAACGCACGCAAACCTCGCGACCTGTGTCATGAGATCAAACTTTGCTCTCATGACACAGGTCGCGAGGTTTGCTCCTAGAGCGTGCACAATGGAGACGTGGCGAGCTCCCCACACTGGTAGAAAGGCACGATACTGTAGAGTTAACAAAAACACAACTTTACTGTAGATGAATCATTCGTTAACGTCCTACTGCTCCCTCCGCGTACTCCTCTTCCATCGGATACTGCCACTAAATACGCTACTGGCCTTCGGCTTCCGCGACTGTCGGATTGTGTACAGTAGAAGCCTCGACCTTTTCCTTGGCGTACGTAGTTCTGTCAGTGTTGGGGTGACAAATATTTAAAGTGTAAGGGGCACTAGATCTTAAACTCATTCTGTCTCGGCGTTAACTCAACAATAGATCATGGATTTTGCCTCGGATTCTCGACACAAACTACCGTAACCTTTATTTTTCTAAATTTCAGGGGGAGCCGATGCTACTTGTGCGACTCCTGTATCGAAGACACGTGTACACATATGATACGGGAACACGTTTGATACGGGATTCCCTGTATCATACGTGTACACATGTTTCAACATTTTTTTGAGATAATGTTGCGTTTAGGTGGGCGATCAGGTGCATTTTGGTGGCAACAGACGGGTGAAAGCGGAAAAGTTGTAGCGAACAAGGGGTGACGGTGGTAACTTTGCAAGAGGTACCCAAGGTACCCAACAGAAAAGTCAATTTCACCCGTGGTTAAAGTACTGTAGCGCGGTAGCGTGGGGAACCATAACCTGTGACGAAGGAAGATGATGGCACCCGCCGTCGCCGTTTACTGGGGGGACAGTGGCTTAAGTACTGAGAGAGTCTACTGTAAGAAGTGTATCATACGTCATTCTGTGTGTTGACGAGTGCTATCCCAATGTTTTGCAGGATGTTGGTTTGGTTATTATTGCCGAGGGCACATACGTTAAAGAAATGGCGTCTAAACTGACTTTATAAAATTTCGATTTAATGTATACATTTTTGTTAAAAAAAAGGTGACCACGTATAAGGCAAAGTGATTTGTCACTTGCCGTCTAGACACTAGTCTACTCTTGCTCTTGCTCCTGTGACAGGCTTGAGCTCAACGATAGCGCGCACGTGTCCAGCCCTCCCGCCCCCTCCATCGGGCGTGACTTGCTCCCCCTCGCCACTCGCACGCGCTCCCGCCGCGGTGTCCAGCCTGAGCGCGACGACGAGCGGTAGGTGATCGCTGCACGCGCTGCGCCGCCCGCCGGCATACTCGTACCCGTTCTGTCTCATGCTCCTCAGCCTCCCCCCAAACTCGAAGCACCACGCGTCGGCCACCTGCGCCCTTGCCGCGTCTGCGAGCCACCAGTTGTCGAACCACTGGCCGCCGGCGGTGGTGGGCGCGTGCAGCACGGTGTAAGGGTGCTTGGGCGCGCCCGCGCGCGGCGGCGGGCACACGACCTCGACCATGCCGCGCGCACGCAGGCGGTCGAAGGCCTGTGCGTCGGCGTTAAGGTTGAAGTCGCCGGCG